TGGCATTCAGGCCAAAGAGTTCAATCTTTGGTTTCATCAGACCAGAGAATCTTGTTTCTCATGGTCTGAGAGTCCTTTAGGTACCTTTTGGCAAACTCCAAGCTGGCTGTCATGTGTCTTTAACTGAGGAGTGGCTTCCGTCTGGCCACTCTACCATAAAGGCCTGATTGGTGGAGTGCTGTAGAGACGGTTGTCCTTCTGGAAGTTTCTCCCATCTCCACAGAGGAACTCTAGAACTCTGTCAGAGTGACCATCGGGTTCTTGGTCACCTCCCTGACCAAGGCCCTTTCCCTGCGATTGCTCGGTTTGGCTGGGCGGCCAGCTCTAGGAAGAGCCTTGGTGGTTCCAAACTTCTTCCATTTAAGAATGATGGAGGCCACTTTGTTCTTGGGGACCTTCAATGCTGCAGAAATGTTTTGGTACCCTTCCCCAAATCTGTGCCTCGACACAATGCTGTCTCTGAGCTCTACGGACAATTCCTTCGACCTCATGGCTTGGTTTTTGCTCTGACATGCACTGTCAACTGTGGGACCTTATATAGACAGGTGTGTGCCTTTCCAAATCATGTCCAATCAATTTAATTTACCACCGGTGGATTCCAATCAAGTTGTAGAAACATCTTAAGGATGATCAATGGAAACAGGATGCACCTGAGCTCAATTTCGTGTCTCATAGCAAAGGGTCTGAATACTTATGTAAATAAGGTATTTCTGTTTAAATGTTTTAATACAGTTGCTCAAATTTCTTTTTAAAAACGTTTCGCCTTGTCACTATGGGGTATTGTGTGTAGATAGCTGAGGAAAATGTTTTATTTAATCAATTTTAGAACAAGGCTGTAACATAACAAAATATGGAAAGAGTCAAGAGGTCTGAATACTTACCGAAGGCACGGTGTGTATATATGTATATATGTATATGTATGTATGTGTGTGTATATATATATATATATATATATATATATATATATATATATATATTTCACTGTGTAAATTCATTGTGTAGGCTTTTCACTGCAGTATTATTCCTAATAATTAATCTTTAAGATTGAACTCTTTAGCCTGAATGCCAAGTGTCACGTCTGGAGGAAACCTGGCACCATCCCTACGGTGAAGCATGGTGGTGGCAGCATCATGCTGTGGGGATGTTTTTCTGCGGCAAGGACTGGGAGACTAGTCAGGATCGAAGGAAAGATGAACGGAGAAAAGTAAGAAATCCTTGATGAAAACCTGCTCCCGAGCACTCATGACCTCAGACTGGGGTGAAGGTTCACCTTTCAACAGGACAATGACCCTAAGCACACAACCAAGACAATGTAGGAGTGGCTTCGGGACAAGTCTCTGAATGTCCTTGAGTGGCCCAGCCAAAGCCCGGACTTGAACCCAATCAAACATCTCTGGAGAGACCTGAAAATAGCTGTGCAGCAACGCTCCCCCTCCAACCTGACAGAGCTTGAGATGATCTGCAGAGAGGAATGGAAGAAACTCCCCAAATACAGATGTGCCAAGCTTGTAGCGTCATACCCAAGAAGATTTAAGGCTGTAATCGCTGCCAAAGGTGCTTCAACAAAGTACTGAGTAAAGCGTCTGAATACTTATGTGAATGTGTTATTTCAATTTTGTATTTTTATATACATTTGCTAAAATTTCTAAAAACCTGTTTTTGCTTAGTCATTATGGGGTATTGTGTGTAGATTGATGAGGGGGGAAAACAATTTAATACATTTTAGAATTAGGCTGTAACGTAACAAAGTGGAAAAAGTCAAGGGGTCTGAATACTTTCCGAATGCACTTTAGTATCTGCACTTTGGCTTTGCATGAAGTTAAGACCGTTGTTTTCACAATGCATGTTCACAGCTGTTCTGTGTCTTGAATTTGTCTCTGGCTACTTGCACAAATCAGATTGACATTGCCTACGGCACCAGGCAGGAGGTTTGTTGTCCAGGTCCATTGCCATGGAGCTGGGGTCTGACAGAATTATAATTGTGTTGGCAATGATTAGAATGGTAGGGGGAGTGTCATATTCCTATTGAGCTTTTCACTGCAGGAGAGGACGCCATACTGCCAACAACATCATACATAGTGATACCAGGTAGTCTACACTGTCATTTTATTATGATATGATTACCTCGCTGCCTACAATGATACCTTAGCACAGTCAGGAGAATTCTGAGATTTCCTGGAAGAGATCCCCTCTTTTCATATTGATTGGCTAAATCCAAAACATCTAGGCCTAGCTAGCCAAAGATAATCATATTTGTGTGTATCTATCACCATATGTTGTCCATTGTCTCTGTCTTTCATCACAGAGCTTTATCAAACTGTCCTTTGACTACTCCCGGTATCTGTAATCCGCTCAGGGCCTAACCTGCAGGCATTAGTTATGGGTGACGTAAGCAAGCCCTATACTCTATGTAATTCACAAGGGCAAAGCAGTCCTCCCCTGGCTCCCATATCAGTAAGCAGCTCCAGCTATGCAGCCTACATGAGGACAAAGAGCTGTGGTGGATTGTGGTGCTAAATATAGCTGGGCGCTAGGTACAGATTAGGTTGAATAGTGAAAAGTGAGGGATCAGTGTGTGGGGAATATCATTCAGCCAGCTCGGCAATGATTGATTTGACAACGTGGGCTCTCCCCCAGACAGCTCACTGGCTTCAATTGATGTCTGCCTGCAGGATGTTTGATAAGACCTATCCTATCCTAGAGATGCATCTGGAAGAAGAGCATGACGAGTGATTCTACTTTGTGGATTTGTTGCTGTAAGTCAATCCTCTCTTTCAGTCAGTTTAGCCTAACATCTATTATGCTAAAAGGTAAGTATTAATGTAAAGATAGGCTATGTCTTTTGTATGTTCAGACTCTTCAGTCTCTGGTTTCTGCTAATCTGTGGTACTTACACTGCATTCGGAAAGAATTCAGACCCCTTGACTTTTTCCACATTTTGTTACGTTAAAGCTTTATTCAAAAATTGATTTTTTTTAAATCCTCATCAATCTACACACAATAAATACCCCATAATGGCAAAGTAAAAACAGGTTTTTAGAAATGTTAGCAAAAAACAGAAATATCACATTTACATAAGTATTCTCTCCAGAGATATTTGATCAGCTTCAAGTCCGGGCTCTGGCTGGGCCACTCAAGGACATTCAGAGACTTGTCCCGAAGCCACTCCTGCGTTGTCTTGGCTGTATGCTTAGGGTCGTTGTCCTGTTGGAAGGTGAACCTTCGCCCCAGTCTGAGGTCCTGAGCGCTCTGGAGCAGGTTTTCATCAAGGATCTCTCTGTACTTTGCTCAGTTCATCTTTCCCTCGATCCTGACTAGTCTCCCAGTCCCTGCCCCTGAAAAACATCCCCATAGCATGATGCTTCACTGTAGGGATGGTGCCAGGTTTCCTCCAGATGTGACGCTTGGCATTCAGGCCAAAGATTTCAATCTTGGTTTCATCAGACCAGAGGTGCCTTTTGGCAAACTCCAAGCGGGCTGTCATGTGCCTTTTACTGAGGAGTGGCTTCCGTCTAGCCACTACCATAAAGGCCTGATTGGTGGAGTGCTGTAGAGATGGTTGTCCTTCTGGAAGGTTCTCCCATCTCCACAGAGGAGCTCTGGAGCTCTGTCAGAGTGACCATCGGGTTCTTGGTCACCTCCCTGACCAAGGCCCTTCTCCCCCGATTGCTCAGTTTGTCTGTGCGGCCAGCTCTAGGAAGAGTCTTGGTGGTTCCAATCTTCTTCCATTTAAGAATGATGGAGGGCACTGTGTACTTGGGGACCTTCAATGCTGCAGAAATGTTTTGGTACCCTTCCCCAGATCTGTGCCTCGACACAATCCTGTCTCGGAGCTCTACGGACAATTCCTTCGACCTCATGGCTTGGTTTTTGCTCTGACATGCACTGTCAACTGTGGGACCTTATATAGACAGGTGTGTGCCTTTCCAAATGATGTCCAATCAATTGAATTTACCACAGGTGGACTCCAATCAAGTTGTAGAAACATCTCAAGGATGATCAATGGAAACAGGATGCACCTGAGCTCAATTTCGAGTCTCATAGCAAAGGGTCTGAATACTTCCTAAAGACCTGTTTTGGCTTTGTCATTATGGGGTATTGTGTGTAGAAAATATTTTATGTAATCCATTTTAGAATAAGGCTGTAACGTAACAAAATGTGGAAAAGTCAAGGGATCTGAATACTTTCCGAATGCACTGTATGTTTTTTGTTGTTGTTGCAGAAACTCTTAGAACTGATAGCAGCCGGTCCATAGGACAGGGCAGAGCAGTGTGTCCTTGGTGCAGCACTGTGATTCACAGGTTCACGTCACACTGCCCCATTTCATCCTGAGTGCTCCATGATGTTTTCAAATGGCCTCTCCTGGCAGTGCAGTACGTTCTAGAGCAGCTGCACTGATATGGAGCAGCCGGGTACTAGGTCAGTTACACCACCTGCTCCCAGTCTCAGGCCCTACTAGCCATTTAAACAGTTATTGATCCAGTGCCTCTAGACCAAGGGTGTCAAACATACAGCCCGCAGGCCAGGTCCGAGGGGGTCCAATCTTTTTACTTTAAAAAAGTATTATTATTATCAAAATACTTTAAAATGACTAAAACCAAATTCTTTACTGTGTCCAGCTCGCTAATAATCACCCAAATGAAAGCTACACAGTCCGGGAGCATCAAAAATGATGGATAGAGGACAATTGTTTTGCAAATTTTGATGGCAAGGAAATATAGTGCGGCCCTCCGGACCTTGTTGAAGCCCGAATGTGGCCTCCGGGGCAAAATTAGTTTGACACCCTTGATCTAGACTGCAAACCCTTATTTGCCCTAATTTGACACAGTCTAATGCCTGCTGACTGACTGTGATGAGGTGCTGCTGGGCTAGGCTGGCTTCATAGTCACACTGTGCGGGCGTCACTGCGTCTCTGTGAAACAAACTGCTGCATGGCTGTACTGGTGAGGAGTGTTTACTCAGTGGCAGGCTAATTAATTCAGGTCCTGTAACCTGCTTAGGCGTTGCATGTGGCGGCCGTCGGAGTCACGGTGCAGTTGGCAGCCGGTGATGCCTCTAGCCCCTGCTCTGCCCTCCGCTGGCACTGGCTGACGCTATTTTGGTGCCTGGGAACACAAGCGTTGCTGTGGGAACGCGGACACCTAGGGTGACGGGGCTGATGCAGAGTGTCGAAGTCGGGGAAGTAATGCTATCAGACACGCTGAATTGTAACGCCACTTTTTGTGTGTGTCCCAAAAATGTATAGCCTTATCTTTCTATAGCCTACTTGGACACACCTCGGCTATTGCTTGAAAGGAACATGTCAACACTGCTCATTGTGATGCCCAGTCATGATGTCGGTCTGCTTCTCCACAACATGGCTGCTGTTCCTGACATTCTTTCCTGTTCCCAACACTGCAGGTGCTGAAGGGATGCGTGGGCTGGAAGTCCTAGGGCACTGCTAGCTAGTCCACTTCTGCTCAGAGAGAACGCAGCACTGGGTCCTCCACACACTGCCTGCCTGCCTGGGGAGACCAGCTACCACATCCTCACAGCATTGGATGCAGCTGGCTCAAAAAACAGAAGAAGAAGAAGCGAGGGCTGTCTGGTGTTGTGATGATGAGGGGATAACGGGGCAGAGCGCTGAGGGCCCTGAGGTGGACTGGCACAGTTGAAGCAGCAGGCCAGGGTTGAGCCAGGCCAGGGGAGGCAGGCGGTGGGCACCCACCGTCCAGGGACCAGGAGCCACCATTTCTCGGGTGGTGTTGCCGGCGCGGAGGAGGGGCGCCGTGCGGAGGCTGGAGGCTCTTTGGATGATGACCAGCCTGTTCCGCCGCCACAGCAACAGCAGTGGTAACCATGGTGACATGGCGGCGCACAGGGAAAGCCCTGTTCCAGCCGAACTCAACAACAGTCGTCCCGGTGGGGGTGGACGCACGGTGCGGCATCTGGAGTTCAACCAGGCCATGGAGGACTTCAGGACCATGTTCCCCAGCATGGAACAGGAGGTGATAGAGTGTGTTCTGCGGGCCAACCACGGAGCCGTGGACTCCACCATCGACCAGCTGCTCCAGATGAGCCTAGACGGACACAGCTCCGACGACAGCTCTGACTCAGAGGACAGCCTTCCTCCTGAGGTACGTCTGGGTGCACTGGTATAGGAACTAGTGGGTAGCCCAGATTAAACTAAGTGAACACAACCTAAGACCGTCAGAGACCATAGCGTATCATGAAATGTATGTCAAAGTTGTCAGCTACCTTTTCACCCCATACTCGTTCATACACCTTATTTCATTGTATTTCGTTTTTTTGCCTATTCAAACCAGATGGTTGCTCTTGGGGAGGGAAAAGTATTTGATGTTGCCTTTAATATGCTGTTGTAGTGGATGACATGCATTTCTCTGGAGGGCACTGTGATTATACACTGCTATTGTGGACAGAAAGCTTTGATAAACTGTCTAAAGCGGTCTTCAAAAGCTTGACAATACCCGGAGACTGGCTGTGGATGTACATGTAGAATGAGACGCATTGCTAGAGAGTGGTATGCTCTCTAACAATGTGTTGACTGCTGTGAACAGCCAAGACAAACCATTCCTTTGGACATTCATAAACTCCCTTTGTGCTGTAGTAACAAGATTGTATCAAGTGCAATATTGGACTGCCAAGCTGTTCGCTTTGTATTTGATTAAATTACTGCAGGTCTCTCATATTTAGTGTTTTTATTAGCCTCAGTCCACTCTGGCTGTATTCCACCAATGACACCATGCTCCATACAGGATATTAACTAACTTTGTTTATTTCCCCCAATCACTCGGAATAACCTGAGAGAGAGGATAAGATTTTATCTTAATAAATGATGAAGAGCTGAACTTAATACTTATAGTGGAATGTATTCTACCTCACATGCCAGGCTGTTATTTGGAAAGTGAAGTTAATTTACATTGATTAAATACAGGATGAAAACTTGCTGCTGCTTGAGGTTAATAAAACAGCTCAATGACAGCCGTCACACTGCCTCTTATTAAGGGCAGGAGGCTGAGCTGCATTTCCTATGAGCAGTTAGAATACAGATTAATTATTCATTTAATTCATTAATTAATGCTCTTTGAAATGTTCATATGTGCCATTTGAAGGGGTTGTCATGTCCTTTAGAACATTCTTAATGGCTCCCCTGACCTCTGACCCTGTAGATCCTTGAGCGGACGTTGGAGCCGGACAGCTCTGACGAGGAGCCGCCGCCGGTCTACTCCCCGCCATCCTATGACATGCACATCTACGACAGGAAGTACCCAGGCGAGGTCCAGCCCACAGCCTCACCACCTCCCAGGCAAGTGAAGTGAAGAGAAGGGAGGGAGGGAGGGAGGGAGGGAGGGAGGGAGGGAGGGAGGGAGGGAGGGAGGGTTGGGTGGGTGGTAGGTTGAGGGGGGTTGTCTCAGGGCTGGCTGGCTCTGACCTCATTTCACTTAAAGGAGAATGATAGATGTTAGGATAATGTGAATTAATGAATTCATTTTCTCTGAAACCATAATTTACATGAGTGTTGAGATATATATTCTTCTTTGGTGCTTTCTCAATCTAATACATGATATGGCTGGTCAGCGATTATTATTATCGGCCAGTCTGCACTGTCTGCACAGCGCGTTATCGACCCAGAACCTATCGGATTTTCTGCCTGAATCACTGAATCACTGGACCTTTAACACTGGATAATCGCAACTAGCTAGCTGCAACCAAATGAACGTTGTTGTTGGCTAATCAGCCTTGAGCTAGCCTTGAGTCAAGCACATCTCCCGGCTATCTACCTCTCTGTCAACCGGACGGGACCTCCTAGATTCGACACGGAGCCCTGCCGATCCATCACGACTGGTCTGCCGACGTAATCGTCAGTGGTTTCAACAGGCTTCCCGTTGCAAATTCCACGAAGATCCATCTGCTAGCCCCGGCCGGCTAGCACACGCAAACTACAACCGTGCTTCCTGCTCGCTCTGCTGAAGCCCCTATTTGAACTGCTCTCGGACTCACATATTTCTGTTCACTGGACCTTATGATCACTCAGCTGCATAGATGATGCCTGCTGGACTGTTCCTTTACACGGTACCCTGTTTATTCTGTTTAGCCTCAGCCCAAACTTTATCGCCATTACCAGTTGTTGTCTTAGCTCTCTCTAATAACACCTGTGATTGCTTTATGCCTCTCTCCCATGTCAATATGCCTTGTTAGTTAGTTAGTTCTTATTATACAATTTCACTGTAGAACCCCAAGTCCCTCTCAAACTGCCTCAAATAGTTCCTTTGTTCCACCCCCCATACATGCCGAGACCGGCTCAATCGGTGCCTCCAGTGATGCTATCTCTTTCATTGTTACCCAACGCTTAGGTTTACCTCCACTTTACTCATATCCTTCCATATCCTTGTCTGTACATAATGCCCTGAATCTATTCTACAACGCCCGGAAATCTGCCCCCTTTATTCTCTGTACCCAACGCACTAGAAGACCAGTTCTTAAAGCCTTTAGCCGTATCCTTATTCTAGTCCTCCTCTGTTCCTCTGGTGATGTACAGGTTAACCCAGGCCCTGCAGCCCCCAGTATCACTCCTACTCCCCAGGAGCTATTATTTGTTGATTTCTGTAACCGTAAAAGCCTTGGTTTTCTGCACGTTAACATCAGAAGTCTACTTCCTAAGTTTGAGTTATTCACTGCGTTAGCACACTCCGCCAACCCTGATGTTCTAGCAGTGTCTGAATCCTGGCTTAGGAAGGCCACCAAAAATTCTGAAATGTCCATCCCAACTACAACATTTTCCGTCTAGATAGAACTGCCAAAGGGGGTGGAGTTGCAATCTACTGTAGAGATAGCCTGCAGAGCTCTATCATACTATCCAGGTCTGTGCCCAAACAGTTTGAGCTTCTACTTCTAAAAATCCACCTTTCCAGAAATGTCTCTCACTGTTGCCACTTGCTACAGACCCCCCTCAGCCCCCAGCTGTGCCCTGGACACCATATGTGAATTGATTGCCCCCCATTTATCCTCAGAGTTCGTACTGCTTGGTGACCTAAATTGGGATATGCTTAACACCCCGGCCATCCTACAATCCAAACTAGATGCCCTCAATCTCACACAAATGATCAACGAACCTACCAGGTACAACCCTAAATCCATAAACATGGGTACCCTCATAGATGTCATCCTGACTAACTTACCCTCTAAATACACCTCCGCTGTCTTCAACCAGGATCTCAGCGATCGCTGCCTTATTGCCTGCTTCCGTAACAGGGTCCGCGGTCAAACGACCACCCCTCATCACTGTCAAACGCTCCCTAAAACACTTTAGCGAGCAGACCTTCCTAATTGACCTGGCCCAGGTATCCTGGATGGATATAGATCTCATTCCGTCAGTAGAGGATGCCTGGTTGTTCTTTTAAAAGTAATTTCCTCTCAATCTTAAATAAACATGCCCCATTCAAAAAATACAGAACTAAGAACAGATATAGCCCCTGGTTCTCCTCAGACTTGACTGCCCTTGACCAGTACAAAAACATCCTGTGGCGTACTGCATTAGCATCAAATAGCCCCTGCGATATGCAACTTTTCAGGGAAGTCAGGAACCAATATTCACAAGCAGTTAGGAAAGCAAAGGCAAACTTTTTCAAACAGTAATTTGCATCCTGTAGCACTAACTCCAAAAGGTTTTGGGACACTGTAAAGTCCATGGAGAATAAGAGCACCTCCTCCCAGGAAACACTATCACCACCGATAAATGTACAATAATCGAGAATTTCAACAAGCATTTTGCTACGGCTGGCCATGCTTTCCACCTGGATACCACTACCCCGGCCACCAGCTCTGCACCCTCCGCTGCAACTTGCCCATGCCCCCCCCCCCCCCCCCCCCCCCCCGCTTCTCCTTCACACAAATTCAGACAGCTGATGTTCTGAAAGAGCTGCAAAATCTGGACCCCTACAAATCAGCTGGGCTAGACAATCTGGACCCTTTCTTTCTAAAACCAGCCGCCTAAATTTTCGCAACCCCTATTACTAGCCTGTTCAACCTCTCTTTCGTAACGTCTGAGATCCCCAGAGATTGGAAAGCTGCCGCGGTCATCCCCCTCTTCAAAGGGGGTGACACTCTAGATCCAAACTGTTACAGACCTATATCCATCCTGCCCTGCCTTTCGAAAGTATTTGAAAGCCAAGTTAACAAACAGATCACCGACCATTTCGAATCCCACCGTACCTTCTCCGCTATGCAATCCGGTTTCCGAGCTGGTCATGGGTGCACCTCAGCCACACTCAAGGTCCTAAACGATATTATAACCGCGATCGATAATAGACAGTACTGTGCAGCCGTCTTCATCGACCTGGCCAAGGCTTTCGACTCTGTCAACCACCGCATTCTCTTATTGGCAGACTAAATAGCCTTGGTTTCTCAAATGACTGCCTCGCCTGGTTCACCAACTACTTCTCATAGAGTTCAATGTGTCAAATCGGAGGGCCTGTTGTCTGGACCTATGTCAGTCTCTATGGGGGTGCCACAGGGTTAAATTCTTGGGCCGACTCTTTTCTCCGTGTATATCAATGATGTCGCTCTTGCTGCTGGTGACTCTCAGATCCACCTCTAAGCAGACGACACCATTTTGTATACATCTGGCCCTTCATTGGACACTGTGTTAACAAACCTCCAAACGAGCTTCAATGCCATACAACACTCCTTCAGTAGCCTCCAACTGCTCTTAAACACTAGTAAAACTAAATGCATGCTCTTCAATCAAACGCTGCTAGCACCCGCCCACCCGACTAGAATCACTACTTCGACGGGTCTGACCTAGAGTATGTGGACAACTACAAATACATAGGTGTCTGGTTAGACTGTAAACTCTCCTTCCAGACTCACATTAAGAATCTCCAATCCAAAGTTAAATCTAGAATCGGCTTCCTTTTTCGCATGCTGCCAAACATGCCCTCGTAAAACTGACTATCCTACCGAGCATTGACTTCGGCGATGTCATTTACAAAATAGCCTCCAACACTCTACTCAGCAAATTGGATGTAGTCTATCACAGTGCCATCCGTTTTGTCACCAAAGCCCCATATACTACCCACCACTGTGACCTGTACGCTCTTGTTGGCTGGTCCTCACTACATATTCGTCGCCAAACCCACTGGCTCCAGGCCATCTATAAATCACTGCTAGGCAAATCCCCGCCTTATCTTAGCTCATTGGTCACCATAGCAACACCCACCCGTAGTATGCACTCCAGCAGGTATATCTCACTGGTCATCCCCAAAGCCAACACCTCCTTTGGCCGCCATTCCTTCCAGTTCTCTGCTGCAATTGACTGGAACGAACTGCAAAAATCTCTGAAGCTGGAGACTCTTATCTCCCTCACTAACTTTAAGCATCAGTTGTCAGAGCACCTTACCGATCACTGCACCTGTACACAGCCCATCTGAAATTAGCCCACCCAACTACCTCATCCCCATATTGTTATTTATTTTGCTCATTTGCACCCGTTTCTCTATTTGCACATAATCTCTTGCACATCTATCATTCCAGTGTTAATAACAATTTTAATTATTTTGCACTATAGCCTATTTATTGCCTTACCTCCATAACTTGCTACATTTGCACACGCTGTATATATATTTTCTGTTGTATTTTTGACTTTATGTTTTGTTTTACCCCATATGTAACTCTGTGTTTTTTATCGCACTGCTTTACTTTATCTTTGCCAGGTCGCAGTTGTAAATGAGAATTTGTTCTCAACTGGCTTACCTGGTTAAATAAAGGTGAAATACAAATAAAATAAAAAATGCTGTGAGTGCTTTGAATGCTATGAGGTTCATAATGCATTCAATGCTCCACCTGCTGTCTAATGAATGCTAGTGCAGCAGCTATGCAATCCATGTGAGGTACATGTTCTTAACTGTGCTCTAACTTGGGTAGATCTGTAGACCTAATACTAGTAATAGTTTTGTTATATGAACACAATGTTTTATATGTGTGCCAAGGAGAGAACCTTTCAGAAGAAATTAGAGAAACAGTTATGTTTATGTTAGATGGATCCTTTGAAGATGACCAAAACACATCATTATTGATATTTACTGTTGCAGAACATAGCATCAATGGAACTAACAATATCCTTTGCCATCTCTCTGCCAGCTTTGATGCCAGTCAAACTCCTCCCTGCCAGCCCCCTCTTGGCCCACCCCCTCCCGCCAGTCAATGGCAGGTTGGCAGTTACAGGAACTGGAACCCACCGTTACTAGGCAACCTCCCTGATGACTTCCTGCGGATCCTGCCTCAGCAGCTGGATAGTCTGCCAGTAGGTAGATTTATGTGTCAGCCCCTAATGGACCAGTAACCCACACTCCCATTACTTACAGACTGCTGGCTGCCTGGTGCTCTACTCTGATGGCCAGCTGGCTGGATAATTACCAGCCTCTGCAACGGGTTGCACATGAAGAAAAATACAGTTCAACTATTTATACAGAATCAGTTCCCTAGTAGTCTTCCAAAAATGAAGACAACACCCAAAAAACTAGATATATTATTTTCAATTCATGGTGCAATTTTATAAAAAACTGAAGCATTTCCACATAGGACTTTGACATGTCTAACAGTGTTCTCTCTGGTCCCTCCCTCCCTCCCTGCAGCGCTCACACACCAGCCTAACGCAGAGTAGTCTGACCCAGCCCTCGTCCTCTTCTTCCTCCCTGTCGTCCGTGACGCAGCAGGTTCAGCCGGAGGCTGGGGCGGGGGCCAGGGCAGGCCAGGTTGGCATGGAGACGGAGCAGGAGAGGAAGCTGAAGCAGTACTTGGGGGATGAGCGCATCGCCCTCTTCCTGCAGAACGAGGAGTTTATGAGGGAGCTGCAGCGCAACCGCGAGTTCCTCATCGCCCTTGAGAGAGGTGTGCACACACACACATCCAAGCACGCACTCAGTAATACATCCTCACACTGATTATTTTTTGCAGCATTTGCAAATGTCTTATATAGTACTAAGCGATGATCTCACTATGCTTTCATCCCCATCAATCAAGGTATGAAGAGTCATTAGAAGAAGGGTCTCTATGTCATGGCAGTGCTTTCCTCCTCATTTTCTCCACTTCTGTTCTAGTAATGCATGACGGAAGGCTTGCAGGTTGTCCTGCTACGTGCCTCTATGCTCACAACTCCATTGATGCTGAGACATCGGCACTCTCTGTTTTAGATCGGCTGCAGTATGAGTCAAAGACATCCAAGTCCCATCATTCACAGGCTTTCATGGGGATGTCCACTCCAGGTAGATATCATTAATCTGCACTCCATAGCATTACGTTACATCATAGTAATGTCTCACTCAGGTCCAGGTTTCATGTGGGGCCTATGTAGGCTCCTGCAGTGAAATGCCTTATTTTAAAGGCACACAGAGAAAGTGTGACTTGGTGTGCATCTCAGTCGTTGTGTGTGTCTCTGTGTGCGTCTTATCATGTCTCGGTGTGTGTGTCTTTCTCTGTGCTTGTGCGTGTCTGTGGGGTCTATTTCACGGTGCTTGTTTGTGTTCTAGGAGATAATTGTGCCAAAGGCTCTGGGGAGGCCTGCACCAATGTTACAGACGATGCCTTGTTCCGTGACAAACTCAAGCACATGGGCAAATGTAAGAACACTCCCAATCTCTCTCTTGCTCTCTGGGGCATAACTAAATATTTTTCTCAACGTGTGTGTCTCTCTGTCGCTCCCAAATTCCAAATGTTATTCGAACCTTCCACATTGGGCATCTACAGCTAGAATGAAATGGTTCTAGGATGTTCTAGCAGTGCATGGAACTGAAAAGGAGGGATGGTGTCTATATACAGCAAGGTCATTATTAGAAATCAACACACATTTGTAGGACATGACCCTCTTACAGTCAGTGCTCCAGAAAGGTATAGTAAAAGTCTCCAACGTTCCTACCGTCCCTGCTCTTAAAACTGCAAATAAGATATTAAGAATAAGATGTTTTCTGAAATATATAATTATGTATTCATGGGCATATGCTTTCTCAAATCCAATCAGTCATATTAAATAAAGAAAAACTCAGCTCAAACTTTTAAAATGTTTATACACTCAACCAATTGTCTGTTTTCTCTCCACTTTCTATTTGATCCTGTAATCCTCCACAGCTACACGGAAGAAGCTTTTTGAAGTCGCTAGAGCTTTCTCTGAAAAGTCCCGAAGAAGAAAAATGAAAAGGAGAGCCCTCTTGAAACATCATTCGTATCCTTCCACTTCACCAGTGGTCCCCTACACCACCCATCACCTCCCCCTCCTCTCCCTGGCAGGCCTCCATTGCCCAATGGTTATTTTGTCCTTGCCAGAAGTGACCGTGAGCTTCAAGTGAACTGAACAGATGCGCTTGCATTGTACAGATGTAATTAACTATCCCTGAGAGACTTCCCTGCATGTTGATGAGTGGCTGTAGTATCTGCCTTTGTTTCTAATGTTAGTGGATTTGATTTACAGGGAATGTCCCATTTAGTATCCATTTGGGTTTTATTAGGGCTGGGCTGAATTAGGAGGTCCTCTCATGGCCTTGACTCTGATCCAGAAGGCTTAGTACACTGCTCAAAAAAATAAAGGGAACACTTAAACAACACAATGTAACTCCAAGTCAATCACACTTCTGTGAAATCAAACTGTCCACTTAGGAAGCAACACTGATTGACAATAAATGTCACATGCTGTTGTGCAAATGGAATAGACAACAGGTGGAAATTATAGGCAATTAGCAAGACACCCCCAATAAAGGAGTGGTTCTGCAGGTGGTGACCACAGACCACTTCTCAGTTCCTAGGCTTCCTGCCTGATGTTTTGGTCACTTTTGAATGCTGGCGGTGCTTTCACTCTAGTGGTAGCATGAGACGGAGTCTACAACCCACACAAGTGACTCAGGTAGTGCAGCTCATCCAGGATGGCACATCAATGCGAGCTGTGGCAAGAAGGTTTGCTGTGTCTGTCAGCGTAGTGTCCAGAGCATGGAGGTGCTACCAGGAGACAGGCCAGTACATCAGGAGACGTGGAGGAGGCCGTAGGAGGGCAACAACCCAGCAGCAGGACCGCTACCTCTGCCTTTGTGCAAGGAGGAGCAGGAGGAGCACTGCCAGAGCCCTGCAAAATGACCTCTAGCAGGCCACAAATGTGCATGTGTCTGCTCAAACGGTCAGAAACAGACTCCATGAGGGTGGTATGAGGGCCCGACATCCACAGGTGGGGGTTGTGCTTACAGCCCAACACCGTGCAGGACGTTTGGCATTTGCCAGAGAACACCAAGATTGGCAAATTCGCCACTGGCGCCCTGTGCTCTTCACAGATGAAAGCAGGTTCACATTGAGCACATGTGACAGACGTGACAGAGTCTGGAGACGCCGTGGAGAACGTTCTGCTGCCTGCAACATCCTCCAGCATGACCGGTTTGGCAGTGGGTCAGTCATGGTGTGGGGTGGCATTTCTTTGGGGGGCCGCACAGCCCTCCATGTGCTCGCCAGAGGTAGCCTGACTGCCATTAGGTACCGAGATGAGATCCTCAGACCCCTTGTGAGACCATATGCTGGTGCGGTTGGCCCTGGGTTCCTCCTAATGCAAGACAATGCTAGACCTCATGTGGCTGGAGTGTGTCAGCAGTTCCTGCAAGAGGAAGGCATTGATGCTATGGACTGGCCCGCCCGTTCCCCAGACCTGAATCCAATTGAGCACATCTGGGACATCATGTCTCGCTCCATCCACCAACGCCACGTTGCACCACAGACTGTCCAGGAGTTGGCGGATGCTTTAGTCCAGGTCTGGGAGGAGATCCCTCAGGAGACCATCTGCCACCTCATCAGGAGCATGCCCAGGCGTTGTAGGGAGGTCATACAGGCACGTGGAGGCCACACACACTACTGAGCCTCATTTTGACTTGTTTTAAGGACATTACATCAAAGTTGGATCAGCCTGTAGTGTGGTTTTCCACTTTAATTTTGAGTGTGACTCCAAATCCAGACCTCCATGGGTTGATAAATTTGATTTCCATTGATAATTTTTGTGTGATTTTGTTGTCAGCACATTCAACTATGTAAAGAAAAAAGTATTTAATAAGATTATTTCATTCATTCAGATCTAGGATGTGTTATTTTAGTGTTCCCTTTATTTTTTTGAGCAGTGTATTATGTTTAAACCGCTGCCAGTCCCCTTAACATTATCTACCAGACTGGGTAATGCTGCCTCAACTGCCAACCTCTTGGCTGACGAAGAAGCCGGACACCTGAGTGGTACGTTTATCCATGTTTTAATATCATTCTAGTGAAGAAACCTAATTGAATGGTATGAGGCATTGATTGGTCGATTGTTTCATTTAGGCCTAGCCCAACTGTGAATGGGGAGGTGAATGTGGACCACATGCTTATTTGTATGAACCTAACTCATGTGTCTGTACAGAGGAGGACAGCAAACTTAAGAGACCAGGCCCTCAAGAAGAGGAGGTGCCCCAGCAGGAAGTGTTGTCATGGTGAGAGAGCAGTAACTCCACACACAAAAAAACATACTACCTTGAAAACTACATTTTTATGTTTTGGATTTCCTCAACTAACAGTTATCTTACCTATTTCACTGACAGATTTCTCATATAGTTTAGTCTGTGACAATGGAAGAACAAAATGGCTCACACTACACCTCTGGACCTGAACCAGCCCGTCCCAAGTCCCATGGAATATTGTTGCCTTCAGATGCTCTTCGGAACTGGGAAATGTCACATTTAAGTCGTAAGTCCAACATGACTGTTTTGGAAGTCAGAGCAATTCTTCAACCAATGAGATTTTAGCTAGCAAAATGAGCTAGCTAATAATACTAATGATAAAGTTAGCTAGCTTGCTTAACTTTGACAGTAGGGTCAAAATAGCTATTATCCACATTGATAAGTTTGACGGCATCAAAGGTGAAAGGTCAGTGATGAAACGTCACAACTCTTAAATTGGGTATCATCTCCATCTCCGACTTTCCCATTTGGAATTCCAAATTGGGAGGGTTGTTCAAGTGCTTATTTCCCAGTCTAAACATTGTATTTCCCACTTCCGAGTAGCATTTGAAGGCAGTCTTTTGATTTCTTGTTTCAGAAATCAACAAACTAGCTAGTTAGACACTTTTTTGTATGATTTAAATTACATTTGAATATAAAATCTATATTGTTATTGATGGTGAATATTAATAATGTTATGATTTTATTTTTTATGTATTACTCATTTGGAATTATTCCTGATAATTGCTGGGTGATACAGTGAAAGCTGGAGTTGTAATTCCGATACGACTCAGGACTATAGTGCATTTTACTCGCATATGAATGGATTTGAACATATTTATACTGAACAAAAATATAAACGCAACATGCAACCATTTCAGAGATTTTACTGAGTTACAGTTCAGATAAGGAAATCAGTCAATTGAAATTAATGAATTAGGCCCTAATCAATGGATTTCACATGACTGGGCAGAGGTGCAGCCATGGGTGGGCCTTGGAGGGCACCCACTGAGTAGCCAGGCCCCATCACTGGGTAGAATGAGTTGTTCCCCACACAAGGGCTTTATTACAGACAGAAATACTCCTCAGCACCCTCCACATACCCCCTCAGACGATCCCGCAAGTGAAGAAGCCATGGTCTGAGGTTGTGAGGCTGGTTGGATGTACTGCCAAATTCTCTAAAACGACATTGGAGGCAGCTAATGGTAGAGAAATTGACATTCAATTCTGTGGCAACAGCTCTGGTGGACATTCCTGCAGTCATCATGCCAATTGCACGCTCCCTCAAAAGTTAAAACATCTGTGGTATTGTGTTGTGACAAAAGTGCACATTTTAAAGTGGCCTTTTATTGTCCTTAGCACAAGGTACACCTGTGTAATGATCATGCTGTTTAATCTGCTTCTTGATATGCCACCTTATCTTGCAAAGGAGAAATGATAACTAACAGGGATGTAAACAAATTTGTGTACAACATTTTAGAGAAATAAGCTTTTTGTGCGTATGGAAAATGTCTGGGATTTTTTATTTCAGCTCATGAAACATGGAACCAACATGTTGCGTTTATATTTTTGTTCAGTGTAGCTCGGCCCCATTCAACAGTCCATTTCAGACCTCATGTGAGTTGTGTGTGTGGAACAAAGATTGTTCTAGTTTATGCTTACCCAAATGCAACCATATTCTCCAAATCTGATATTATAATCTCTACCAAATTGTCTGCCTTGAGGTCCAACAATAAGGTCCAGATAGGCTTCCCATTGATCTATGGTATCTTCCCAGAGATGACCAATGTAGGTGAATGCTGTTTCCAGTGTAACCAGAGAGCACTGGTTTGAATCAGAATCTGGACCATCAGTGCAACAGTAACAGTAGACATGTGGCTAGGGTTTCCTCCTTTAGCATGCATATGCCTATTTAGTCAGTAAATCATTTATGTTCTGTTTCTCAAACAACTTTACAGTACAGTATTAGATACACTATGAATTTTCTTCTTCTGTTTGTGGCCTCTACATCTGTGTTGCTAACAGAAGAGCAGTCTGACCTTAAATTATGAATTGAGGATTTATTCCCGAATTTCACTCTGCTTGTGATTTTCATATTTTACCATTGTCATTCTTGATGAATTGTCTTTGTTAACCACGTGTTCTTGCTGGTGAATGTCTCTTCCATGCGTCTGAGGACACTACACCCCCATTGCAGCTCAGAACTTTTACTCAAGTCATATGTTTGTGTTTTTGTTATTTAGAGAAGAATAAATTATATACATTTTATTTGAAGAGAATAGTTTACTCTTGTCTTGTTTGTAGATGCTTAGGAAAGGAATCTCCTGATTGTATCACAATGATCCACTGGCTTTATCGGATAGAAGTTTTTTTTATTTTGACTACCATCATTTTTTATTGAGAATACCAGTACTTCCTGATAATACTCAAGCTGGTTTAGACTGTATGTATCTGCAACACTTTGCTATGTATTTAGCTAGATGTGTATAAATTGAAACGGTTTGAATGATTTATGATCTTGGGGATATCATTGCCATAAACTATGTAGATATACTTACTGTAGTTAGCAAGAAAATAATCAATGCTCAGGGAATCTTACTCAACCGCCATTTTCTTGTTGTGTTCGACCCTCTTCTCCGCCATTTTCTCCCCAACTGATTAAACACAGCTGAAATGTTTCTGATATTTATATTCTGCAGTGTTCCATGGCCTAGTATGCTATAATCCTTGTGGGTGGATTTTTGGACCAATTATAATTGGTTTGGTACTGCATTCTCTGGCTATACTAGAGAGAAAAGATAGCACTCTGTTGGCCTTTCTGGAATACATCAATTCAATACAAATGGCAAGACTTTTCAATGTCAGTCCTATCCTGAAGAAAATACTGTTTTAGCAAATGCAATTGCTTCTTATCATCAGACCACAAGCCTAATCTGTCGCCATTTTGAGTTGTAGCTTACCTCCACTTTTAAGAAAGTGAACCTATAAATGAACCTATAAGATCATAGATTGTTTTACACTGAAATAGGATATGGACCAACTATACCAAACCTAGAGGGTGACTTGTTATGTGCGTAAGAATTTCATTTCAGTCTGAGCATTTTTTATCTGGGTTTGTGTGATGGATTAATTATTCTATTGTCCTGTGTGTTGGTCAGGGGGCACCTGAGACTTGGTATAATGGTATTTTCTTCCATGTTACCGTAGCTCCCTCCAAAGGATTGTGTGTTACATGAATGTACAGTATAGAGCCAATGTTGATTAAAACATTAACCATTTACAGTGCACCTCTTTGGGCTTGTTATTCTGAATGACTCACCATCACCCAATCAGAAGATAGAATGCATCTTTGTGAAAGTCTCATACTGTATTCCTCTATTTTTCTATTTGAAAAAGCATACATGCTAGAAATGTATCACCAAATTACATTACAATTCATGTTATCAAATGCAGCTTAAAGAAAAAAGAAATGCTAATGGTTTTTTATGACTTGTACAATGTATTTCTATCTGTAAGAGAAATGCTGGTATAGATCTTGAGAAATGATGTAATCTAGCATAGTATAATCTCTTACAACTCAACCCAATCCAAAAAAAGCAAAGAATACACTTTCAGGATAACTTCTTAAGCAAATATTTTCTTATACTGCTTTTATTTGCTACTTGAATAATACAGTTCTGTTGTACCCTGTGTTCTTGGTCATTATTGTGTGCCAGATCTTAACTCAACATATAGCATGTCCTACTAATAGCTCTATTTAATGTGTTTGTATGTGCCAGTGTGTGCTCCAATGCTCCTTCATTTAAAGCGTTCCCAGGAAGTGACATCGACACTGACTGAGCACTGCCTCTGATGTCATTTCACAGCACTTCATTTTAGAACGTTTACTTCCTCCTATCTTAGATATGTTATGTCAGACATGACGAAACAGACATTGAAGTGGTGAAGTGGTGTGTAACTACCTGTTCTTTCATGCCTGGTTACAAAGTAATTACACAGGGTATTACTCCAAAATATGCCTAAGTAATGTAAACGGTTGCAATTTCATTCAGTTTCTCTTGTCCTATGCATCTCATGACTTGACTAGGACTATATGTGATAGTAATCAATGCTGCTAAGTGAAATGATTTCAATATCACTGCCTCTACTTTTTCAATCGAGTGGAGTTTGGACCGAGTCCTAGCTGCAAACCTACTTTGTCCACTAGATGGTGTTCTACACAAATGTATTCCACTTTATTGCATCTGCATCCTATGCTTAGTTTCTTTCCTCTCATTGGCTCTCTTTCCGATAGTATGACACATCAGTGTTTTCTCTTGTTTGTTGTGCTGCTAATCTCTACCATAGTATCTTGATTATCCTTGCTTGCCTCATCTGTTTTGTAGTTCAGTCCTTTATTCACCCCTTGCTGTCAGTCTTTCTTTGTCTCTGCATGGCCTTCCTCTGTAGTCATTGCCACCCCTGTCCTGAAGGGGGCCCCAGCCTCTATGTAGTGGCAGACAGGCAGGCAGGGATGGCTTTGGCTGCTTGACATGCGTGTTGGGAGGAATAAGCCTGGCATTCCTTTATCCTGCTAATTGCATGGCGACTGTAGATGGAGCTTTAATCTAAGCCTGACTGACTACCCTGCTCCTCAGATCATGCCTGGGTCTGGTCTCCCCCTCCCTGTCCAAGGATTGGGATGTTTAAAGTCCTGTTTTACATGCTGTTGTGTCTTAACTAGACATGTGAACATCACACTCAAGACTTGACAATCTAAGAATTTCTAGTGTTCTTGTTTGATCAGCATAATGCAATAACATGCAATAGAAAGGCCCTGTAAGGACAATGCAGACAGTGGTGGTACATTATGAATGCAGTTGTTTCAGTGCAGCAGTCCTTCCAGGCAGGCTGTGTTTTTAGCAGGTTGACGTTTAATGTCATTACTTTTGCCCTGGAGGCAGAACTGAGCGATTTCCGCTAGATGAGCCAGCTGTTAAGTCAAAATTGTCTATATCGTAAAAATTTATGAAAACAAAAATGAGCTTTTTGGTCATAATTTAAGGTTAGGGTTAGGCATTAGGGTTAGCAGTGTGGTTAGGGTTGGGTTAAAATCTGATTTTATGACTTTGGCTGTGCCAGCTAGTGATGACTCTGCAGAGCTGTCTCCAGGGCAAGATTCATGACAATAAATGCCAACCTGTGTATTGTTATGGAGCAGCACTCTCACTGTTTAGCGTGACCCTCCCTGATCTCATCCTCCCTCCTCAGACCTGCAGGGTTGGCTCAGGAGATCCCCTGGCACGAAAGGACACGCAATCAGATTGTCCACAATCCGATTTAATCTGATGCAATGCTGCCTGGGAGACTTGCCCCTACTGCCTACACTAAAATGTAGCAGCCTGGCCGGCCAATGGGGCTGCAGTACAAACAGCTTAAGAGGCCGCTGGGCCGGGTGGCATGGCAAAG